AAGGCAAAAATAATGAAACAAAGCTCTGCAAAATTCAAACCATGCCTTCCAGAAGCAAGCGAGACCAGAATGAAATAACGGCGTGTAATTAAAGTGTATTTGGCATTTAAGAAGCAAATGGATCAAAATCATTCAAGGCAGTATTTCTCGTCCCCTTTGCGCCCCCCTGCACCACGGCGGCACTGCTCACAGGCACCAACGGCTGCCCCATCCCCATCCGCGCCGGTCGAGGAGACGGACCGTTGCCCATCCCGCCTGACATTCCAAATGTCGATTGACTGAAATTTGCAAATCCTGATTGTCCGCCGACACCCATGGAGGTTTGTGATGACGCCACGGGCGGCGGAGGAAAACTGTTGGTACCCATCCCCATTCCGCTGCTTCCCATCCCCATTCCGCTGCCTCCCATCGTCCCGCTTCCGGTCCCCTTTGGCGCATTTAGAGAATTCGAATTCCAAGCGGGAGTAGGAGGAGCCGATAGTCGGGGGGGCTCAACCGGTTTGGATGTAGGGGCACTGGTTGTACTCCATCCCATCGATGGCGCCGTTGATGCCGGCGGTTCGCTTTTGGGTAGAGGTGCGGCGGACCCAAAATATAGGCCAAGTCCAGAGCTTGGGGTTGAATTATTGAGTGGTCGGGAGGAGCTTGGCGGTTGTACGGGACTGGGAGATGGAGTGCCCCGCGGAGGGAGCGCTGGGGCAAATGAGGCCATAACAGGTATCGCTGAGGGAGCCTCTGGTTTGGTAATATCGCGAATCGAAGCAAAGGGCGAGTCCTGTTCGCCAAACGGTGAGTTCAACGCGACATTGGCATGTGTGAAGATTAGCAGAAAAGCCGTTACCATATCTGGCACATCAAATGGCATTTCTGGATCAACTTTTGTCGTAGCCGCCTTGGTTGGTGCAGTTCCCCCGGCCTTCGGGCCATGAACCAATTTTTGGAAGTCCGTCATGGGGTCTCCACCAGTGCTGACGGGAGCTGGGACAAAGTTTAAGCTTGCCCGTTATGTAAACGTGGGCAATGATCAACGCAACCGCTACTACCTTCCATGCTCTTAATGTTCTCCAAAAACTTCATATGCTGCTCCTCAATCTTATTTGAAAGATCTTTTATGACCTTCATAAATTTGGCAAACTGCGCGAGACGAAGTAAACGTCAGAAGTGCGTCAGAATTGCTTGTGATTCAGCTGGTATTCACCTGCGCCGGGCCCAAGACCTGGTCGAGACACATCTTCCACAACTCAGGAAGGATTTCCTGTGCCACTACGTCCTTCTCCAAATGTTTGGCGAGTTCATCGTAAACCGCCAGAACGGCCATCTAAGACGAGAATATCATTGAGTACATTTTCATGTCTTTCGACTTAAGGGTTACCACTAACCAAGATGCCAGGTTCCCGCGTTTGATTTTGTTTCAAAAGGGGTATGATTTTTTCGACCAGCGTAAACTGTACGGTATGATCGTATAAATATATGCAAGAACGATGGGTCTGCCCCATAAGTACATACCTTATCCAATGATTTAATCAACGCATGCAACACAATCAGGGTATTGACTTTCACCGACAGCACATTCGTCTTTAAATACAAGATTTGTACTTTTGGGAACAGAACCTGCTCAGAATGAAAACGCGTCAACCCTTGCGACGTCTACCCAAACGTGGAGCATAATCACAAATGCAAACGTTTTTTATCGCACTGAAATCTAGTCGCTCCAAGACAGTGGGAATGACTTTCAAGGCTTGCTCTTGGACCTGCGGCACAGGCAGGTCCAAGGCGCCGTATATTAGGGGCATGATGTCTGCCAGGTTGCAAAAGATGTCGACGATATACACATCAAAACAACCGAGGCCTCAAAGACGTACCTTGCCGAAACATTTCGGCCGACGGACTCTTTTTGAGGAACAGGTCAACTCGAGAAAGTAATAGAAGAACCGCCTGGGGTGGGTCTGACGCCCTTTGTCAGCAGAAACAGACTTCAAAAAATACAAACAATTGCTGTTACCGTGTAATCGGAAAAGCGGTTTGAGCGAAGGCAGTACTCTTTCAACGAAGTCCTTCTCCTGCATGCGTTCGCTAATCCTAAAAATTGGGAAGCGCGGTTATAAATAGCCCTGAACTCCGCACCCGCTGCGAGAACGATACCAAAATACGTTGGGCAGGATGAACGGCGCCTGGAAACACACAATGAAAGGTCAGTAAATCACAACATAGCTTCGGTCTGGTCGTTTGCGCGTACCATGAGCGGATCCTTCGCTTCCTGCAAAAGCGCTGGCAAAATCTAAAACGACCTTTCAATGAGGCTGAATCGTATCCATCAAGAATAATCAAGACGAAACTTACCTTTCGATGCAGTACTCTTTCCGAAAATTGCGGGAGCACTCTGACGAGGCCTTTCAAAAACTGCGCCCGTTGCACTTGTGTTTTCTCCACAAACGTGTCCAAATACTGTTCTCGGTATTAGAAAAGCGTTCATATCGTTGGCGGAAGACAGATTGCAGGCCTGAAGGCACCTTGATGGTACTGATCAGCAAGTTGTCAAAGTACGAACTGGCTTGGAACTCTGCAATAGAAATTCGACCGGACGGGTATCGAACAAACATTCGTGCTAAGGAGTCTGGACAAGCTGGTCAGAGACCCTCCTACTTGATTTTGACAACGGACGCCAAGGCGCACCATGCATCTGTTGAGGAATCGTGCTATTCTGGACTATGCTTGAGTTAAACCTTTCCATTTTCTCTCTAAATGCATGCATGTTGTTGTTGCATTGAATGGCGGATGATCCCTTGTTGAAGATAGCATAGATCAAACAACCCAAGGACCACACTTTGGCAAGGTTAATGTTGTTACGTCATAGGAAGATGCCAATATTACGAGATATTCCCTTACCATCACTACTATATGCGCATGTATCGTCCAAAACAATCTCTGGTGCGAGGAAATCAATGGGAGGTGCGCAGTATGGGGGATGCGACAAGAATTGAGAGGCATTCGATTCTCCTGAAGGGGGAGCAACAGTCGATACTGTCACGCAGAAGTTGAACCCGCCGATCTTCCAGTCTCCCTGAAGCTGAACGTTGAGCGCAGCTGACTTCGCGCACCTTATCAGCTGAGTCTGCATACCTTCGCATTTATATATATAGCCTCGGGACAAAGACAACCGTGAATGATGCGATTTGCATGCAAGAATTCAAGACCTAATTCCAGGTCAGCTCGACGATGCATGATTTCCCCGGAAGAAGAGCCCATGGCCTACCCTTCACAATTTGCAGCACCCCTTTCTGCATCTAAGGTGGGACGGGACATGCGGCATTCGCTGATGAGCAATCAAGGCAATTACCAAGCATCACATATGTCGGAATGCGGCCAAGGACCGCACCTCTAACTCGTCCAATTCATATTTGTTTTTAAACTGTGCAGTATCCACGTTCTTGAAATTGGCAAAGCTCCCAAGAACATTTGATAAATTACACAGTAAGGGTTCCGTTGCGAATGCCAAAGCGGTGCGCGAATCATCTCTGCAATGTGACATCAACAATAGGACATGGCAGCGGACACACGCCGGACGTTACGGAAAAAGACATACAGTGGTTCAACAATTTCCAACAGAGAAGGATGTCGTAATTTCGTCAGGCTTTGCACCTGCGCACAGCCCAGACAACAAGGATCCATTACGGCTCGTCAAAGGCTGGGACACATTTGGAATGTCCCGGGTAGCTGAATCGGACGTGCTGGCTCACCTCTCGCTTGAGGACTTCATTGATTCTATCCTGATCTTTTTTGAGTTGTGTGGGCTTTGACAAGGGGTTGATTGCTTCCAAGAAATTCTTTTCAAACACCTATGCTTCCCCGCGGACGGTTCATGGGTGATGTATTGTCAAGACCAAATCTCCTTTGTCCCCGCCGCCCCTTTGTCAACCCTGGTTGTGCCCGTCGTCTCGAAACTTACAAAAACCGCACAAGGTTGTCCTGTCGACTTTTTGGTGGCCCCGTGCACTCTCCATAAATTTCCCTGCAAATTGGTGAATAGAACCTCAACTCAACAAGGTCTTCGGTCCGGTGACAAGACCTCAAACCCGGCCACCCACCGGTCCTCCAGAAGCAACCTGTAGTTTTGGGTTAACCAGACAATGAGACGGGACGGTCGATTCAAAATAAGTAGAAAAACATCTGCAAGTCACCTGCTCCTTGACGTCGAATTGCGTCGTGACAACGTTTCCCATTGCGACGGTGGATGAAGATGGCAGGATCTGGAGAAATTCAATGAGGCGGCAGGAATGGATACCGGTATCCAACCCCTCCAAATAAGCTGGCACGAGAGGTCAAACCCTCCTGTGCCACACCCGTAACATAAAAAGGGCGGAGGCGCTCAGCGCTCCATTTCCCCCCAACTTTCAACTTCCTCGCAAACAATCAACCACCCGACAGACTCCTCCCCCCCATTATGAGCGGCCTCCGCCCCTTTCCCACACACACACACACACACACACAAACATTCCCCCTTCTCGTCCGTGACTTTTGTTAGACGTTAGTTTGTCTTCCCCCGGGAATATAACGGTTTGTATACCCCTCTCACCCCTTTCTAGTCATAGTTTCGCTGGTGGAGTTTGGTGGGTAGGACCCGTTGAGGTTACCTCCGGGCGGGACGTGCAGCTCGTCGGTCCGTGGGGACAATTGTCCTACGGGATTCGTTCCCATGATAGGACCTGACCCCCTTGTAGGGCACCAGCTGTAGAGCTGAGCCGGCGGGTTGTACGTTTCCGAGTCGTCGCCAGGATTGGGCCCGCCCGCACGCTTGAATTCCCCTGGGACGGGGTGCGGCTCCGGGGTAACGGGAGCACGTCTGCCGTTACGTTTGGAGGGCGACGACGATGGTGGGACCGGCTTTCAATATACCCTTTACTAAACAGTTTTCTCTTTAGGTGGGTGGCGGCGGGAATTCCACTCTCCGTCTGCAGCAGCTCAACCTCTGGTGGCAGCTGCAGTATCCGCTTCCCTTTTTTCCCTCTGTAGCTCAAAGCAGAGCGCACCCTCCCTACGGGGAAGGTGTTGTGTCGGTTCAAACCCGACCAGAGGGAATACATTCACTGTTACGCGGTTGCAATCTTCTGGCACAGAAGGAAGTCATCCACTGACTGATGGTGGCAATGAGAAACCCTGTTGGTGGGTCGGCAAGGCGCGCCTTTGCTTTCGTTCCGTTGCTCGTAGCGAGTTCTACCTATGGGGTTTCTTGGGCACACATATAAACACCTACGCGGCCATCCTCCCAACCTCCTTCCCACTCATTCTCTTTCAGAATCTTTACAGGTGGGTGCGGAGAAGTTTCTGGTCGTTGGAAACGACAGGCAGCACGAGCAGCACGTCAAACTTGCACCAACGAAAAAACACTGTGTGAATCTAACAAGACGGATATGGATTGAGGTAGTGACATCAACAATGCAAACATCCATCTAGATGATCTATTCATCGGTGATCTTAGCGGTACGCAAGTAAAGCTCGATGATCTTGAGCCAGGGAACAGCTGAAAGCCGGAGCAGGGAGAAAGAAGGATTGATTTGGCAAGGTGCGACGAGGAGCGGGATCGCGCTGTCAAGACAAATCCAAAACCTCAGCAACGATAACATCCTTCTGCACACCGCTCCACCCCTCGCGAGCAGCGACCTTCCTCTTCTCGCCCAACTGCAACGAGTCCACCAATGTTTGATAGGAATACGAGTTGGCACACCAGAATATCATTCTTTCTTCACATCTTCTAAGAAGGCGTATGTTTGGCGGATCACATGCATTCTAGAACGAATCCGCTTTCTCGGTCGGTGGGGTCTAATACGTCAAAGGTGTCTAATACGTCAAAGGTGTCTAACACGTCTTTCAGTAATGCGAATTGAGTGTAACTCTCCAACCGCCCTCCAATTGCATTCCAACCACATCAGCTCCAAAACTAAGCTACAAGTTGTGATTAATGCGTTTCACCACTTCTGGAAAATAGGCGGGAAAATGTTCCTCGTCCAATGTCAACGCGAGCTCACTGTACTTTCCGTTTTCAAGTTCTTCCTTCATCTGATCAAGTGGAAGGTCCATCTGGAGCCCAAGATCCTGGACCCACTTGATTTCTTTCATGTGATCCAAACCTTGAGCCATTGATGAATTGGAGTTAAGTCACGATAGCCGAACTGTCTCCAGCAAAGTTGACTAACCCACCGGCTTGTTCAATGGCAAATGCAGTAACTCTCGTATTATCCCTTCATCTGTTTTGGGTGCAATTTTGCACCCGCGACCCGTTTTTTGAACTTTGAGCATGGATGAAAACAAAAGCGTACTATTAAAAGACCCCCCATTCCCTATGCTCAAATGAAAGATAAATGACTGCTCAATGCGGCTGCAAAGACAAAAACAATGTCTGTGGGTTCTAGTACAAGCAACGAGTCTTCAAAGGGTGGGAGGTCCCCTTAACAGCCATAGTAAGAGCCGCGCTATCCGACGGTATCCGACGCGTAAATAAGCTGTCCTCACGAGGCCGCAGTCACGAAGGCAAAGCTCTGATTGGCTGATTTTGGGTGCAAATGTGCACCCAATACCGACACAGACGAAGAGATACTCATTTTGCAGAAAACTTTCGAAAGAGTCATGTTAGGTGTTAGAAGAAAGGGAACATCGTCCATTGGGTCCAATTCTGCGGTTCCTATTATTATCTAGCATTCGTCACAATAGCGTGGGAAATGTCAGAACCTCACCGCCTGGGATCGATATAGCCACTTCCCCTATGATTGGAAGATCTGTTTCGAACTTCTTCCAAACAGATGGGGAAGACTTGGCAAGACTGTTCACGATGCTAATGTATTCGTCCACAGCCCCGCTAGCAAAAGGGCTTTTGAAGAAACGAAATAAGGGAGGAATGTCTTTGAACTGTGCGCGTGCCTCCTATATTTTGGTTGAGGTTTAGACTGGATTACCCCACCCACATTTAGAACCAAGCATACCGTAGATACAGTTGGTGTATAGTAGCATATGCGCTTCGGATGCGAAAGGTAAGCCGTGAGCAACGGAAACCGACCAGTAATAAAGTAACGGATTATATTTGTGTCGACAAATACGTGCTCGGTTTTGCCTTGTTGCAATCGCAGGTGAGGTTGCAGTCAAGGTGCTTTGCCTGAATAAACGTTCACCTGGTCCTGCATAAGACTTTGCGGGCGGTTTCGGAACCCCTGTTTTTTTCTTGGTGAGAAAATCCAAACCAATTCAACCCCTTACCGGCGATTCAAGGAGCAACATAACTCGCCGCCTGGCTCACAGAGCGTGGAGTTGCACGAAAGAAGAGCATGGCGGTGGTCTGGGGGAGAGGTTGGGACGGACCTGGACTTACAGTTGGACCAACATAGTTTTGGCGGAAACGCGTCGTTACTAGTATTTTACTAGTAAACAGCCATTTGCGCCAGCTTGTCTAGCACTGCGAATGTTGCCCCAATCAAAAAACAGTAAATAGACGAACCAATCTCCAGACCCTTGCGCATGTTTCCCATTAAGTGTACATGGAGGGTTGACAATGTTATTTCAATGTTTTGCAGTAAGAGAAATGGAGGTTCGAAAAATTTCCATCAACCAGCCACCCTGAGCACCGGGGTATCCGATTCTTCTCGCGACGTTCCCTCCTCTCCCACACACAAAACTAAAACTATCCCCCATTTACTAATACTTTGTATGCCCCCCCTTCGCACTAATCAATGCCGCCATCCTCCTTGGCATACTGTCAACCAAATTCCTGCAGACTGATGGCGGAATTTTCTCCCATTCCTCCCGCAATCTCTGTTTGAGAACCGTGAGATTGGGAGGGCGAGGATGCTTCTGACGCACTTTGTCATCCAAATGGTCCCACAGATTTTCGATCGGATTCATGTCTGGACTCTTGGATGGCCACTCCAGAACATCAACCCCATGGCTTTCTTGCCACCAGCGAACATAGTGAGCTTTGTGAACCGGCGAGTTATCCTCCTGAAAGACGGCGTTGGCGTGGTCCTGCTTGAATCTAACAAACCACAGGTGAAAGGTATTTGCCAGAATGTTCACATACACGTCTTGGGTCACCGAACCTTCGAGGAATACCAAAGGCCCAACCCCATCTCTCGACATGCACCCCCAAACCATAACACCGCCTCCATCTCCCTGAACCCTAGGGACCTACTAAACAGCTTGAAAGTTGACTCGTCAGAAAAGACGAAATGTCCCCAATCCGAGCCGTCGACAACAAGTTCGTGGTCGCGTGCGAACTGTAGCCGTTTCGCCTTATGTTTACGGGTGAGGAACGGTTTCGGCTTGGCAACATAGCTGAAAATGTTTTGCTGAGCGAGGTATCTGACCAAGGTGGGTTTCGATAGGTGTATGTCGTAGTCATTGGCCAGAATGTCAACAAGGGTGATTCAGTCCAACACAAACCTAAGGTTTGTGTTGGACTGAATCAGTGTATACATCATGTAGTGTATAGTTTGTGTTATTGGGTACGGATACCATACACCAACCCTACATCGGAGTCCCTAAAGTCCGTGTCAAAGACCGTAAAGTCCCTAAAGTCCGTGTCAAAGACCGTAAAGTCCGTGTCAAAGACCGCAAAGTCCGCTAAAGACCACTAGAGACCGTGTCAAAGTCCGCTAAAGACCACTAAAGACCACTAGAGACCACTAGAGACCGTGTCAAAGTCCGTGTCAAAGACCATAAAGACCGCAAAGTCCGCAAAA